AAAATGAAAGAAAGGATATTTAATAACTTTTAACTTTGTGTGGGCGTGATCGATTGTTTCCATCCTTGGATGTAAATAGTAGAGTCCTTCGTAAAGTAAACGTGCAAAAATTTCAGCCTTCTAACTTGTATAACTTACGAGTAACGAGTAAAAATCGAAAAATCTTTCGTTCAAAAAAACGGAATTGCGTTCAATTTACGCTGCACTGCGTGCTTGCGCTCTGACCAATTTGACTCATTTTCAATACCAACCGGCGTGCAGAACCTTCCAACGTTTCTTCCAAATTTGAAGTGAATATCTTCATTTTTACGATCGGAAGAATGCCAACAAAACACACCACACAGACGGACAGACATGGGTAAATCAATTCACAATTTTGCGCTGATCAAGAATATATAGCTTCTTTTTGGGTGTTACATACATTGTGGAAAAAAATAAAATGAGTGTACAGTGGTGGGTATAAACAAAAGAATGAAAAACGGCATATAATAATCTGGGGTTGCTCTACTGTTTCCTACATCTAGGGCACTGATGTCTCGGAACAATTTTGATGGTACCATTTACCAATTAGTTGCACTTTTAATAAAAAAATTGTTTGCTTTCATTTTCACTTTGAACAGTAAGCAAAAGCGTTCGAGAGATTTTACGGTCAATATCAAAGAAAATCCACACGTTAAGGAATACTATCGACAAAATGCTCTGCCAATCTCCAAATTGAAGATGAAGACCGGCTTTACTCAACATCGGAGGTGGTAAACCTTCACCTATTTACGTTGAAAAAGTCGTTTCTGTAACATTAGTTAATCTCTTTGTCCACGCATTTGATGAATGAACAATTAAGAACATTGCAGTCGGCAAAACTGACCACTAGATATCCTACATCGCTTTGCGTTATACAATTTTCCATATCAATACCCTTTACTCTTTTCCTATGTACAGGCATACCTTTTGTGAGAGCCCTTACACAAAAGAGGGCCCAAAACGTAAACTGATGTGGGCTAACTTTGGTAAAATTGGTCTTCTTTTCAAAAATGTTTCTCTTTATACATCGTAATGTGCTAAAACTAAGACTTTGTGGACATTTTTTAGGCTCAATCTTTCTGAGTAACTTTATCCGAAATGAAGTCTGAAAAATACACTTGTGTAGTTCAAATAGAGTGTAGAGTTATCTTTATTATAAAATAGTAAAAACTGAACCATTTTCTCATAAAAGGACTTACTTTTCATCATAACTCCATAACACAGTTGTGGACAAAAAGTAAACCTTTGAACCAACGTGAACCAAGCAGATGATCAAAAATAGACCGTTTTGCCCTACGTAGACCGAGCTTTCGTAGAAAAGACATCTGCAAGAGAAGGTTCAAAGCATCGACCCATCCCATCCAAATATAGCATACTACGATATACTATTTCTCAACGATTGCCACTGACAAATTTTGAGAATTGCAATCTCCTTCATAGAGTAACTTTTTCAAAACACGGTGTTATATGAAGATTGGCCCGATTTGATTTAGTTTAATAGGCTCCGTCCTTGCATCAAAATGCCTCAATGCAAAAAATTTCATCAAAATGAACAGAACAAAAACATAGAACAGAAATTGCACGGACAGACAGACGGACGATTAATTGGCTTCAACAAATGATCCGGAATCCGATTGGTATAATAAAAAGATGGGTCTATCAAAAGCCATTCTGAATTTTACACATACATTTACACAAACTTAATATATTCTGCACCAGAAGTGTTCGAGGCTTTAAAACAAGGTAAATGGGAGCGCAACGATTGTATAACGATGCCCCATTTCATGCATACACTTCATAGGCGGCCAGAAGCATAAGTTGTTGGTACAAAAAATGGAAAAATTGATTAACTAGAGGAACATAAGAGAAACTTTTCTCGTTGATGTTTATATCGAGAGACTGTAACGAAAAATATTGCTTTCCGTTTTATATGACCGAAGGCACGTTTTTCTCTTTCGATAAACTTTACTTACAGCTTCGATGATCTCATGCATTTATTTATCCAAAATCTCATTGTCACCGACTTAATTTTTACTAAATCAAACATCTGTTCTATTGAGTGAAAGTATTGCAAATTATTGTGTTTTATTTATTTATTTACATTTTTGTTTTTTTTTTTTGTTTTTATTTGACTTTTGCGAGAAAAAATCATATGGTGCGAAACAGTGGTTGGCATTGGTCCACTTTTAAATGAATAAAACATATGTTTGTTAAATTGTGTGCATTTTTACTTTCATGCAATGAAACAAAATTAATTGGAAAAGACCTAAATGAAATAAACAGATAAAAAATCGAAGATCATTATATTCGATTAGGACAACAATTTTTGCATCTAGTACTGAAAAATTCCAAGTCGATTGGAAGTTAAGCGTCCGTGCATATACTGTTGCTTCAGTTCAGCAGAGAGTGGGATTGGAAAGCAAGCAATCCTTTGATGTTTGAAAATAGAAGCACGCGTCGCCGACAATCACCAATAAGCAGAAGAAGAAGAAGAAGAAGAAGATATTTAGTGTCTAGCATAGAAGGAATTTAACACTGATAAACTTTGTTACAGGTTCGGCAGGGAAATGGCAGTGGTCGATCCAAAATCCTTTTGATAATACATAAAGAACCAAACACGATTTGATAGCAACAAAACAACTTGTGATGACCGGGATTTTCTATTCAACGCATTTCTACAAAATATCTTTTCGGACTCAGTACTATCCAATGAGCTAAGAAGATTGAAAACACGAGAGGCGTATGGAAATTAATTTATACTTATTTCTCTTCTTCTTCTCCTTCCTATAAAGTTTCTTCTCATTTATTTAAACATAACGTTTGGACTCTTATATTGTTCCCATTGGTTGACAATAACCTCTGTTTTTTTTTTTTTGTCTTCCTGCTCTAGCATTTACTTATTACATTTTGGATGGGTTTTTACAATAAAAAAATGTAGGCTTAACACTCTGGAAGCTACCTACAGTTTTTCCCCTTCCCTATGCCCTTAAAATGATGTATTTTTAATCGTCATGCTTTAAAACTATGCGCAGTACGTGAGTGCAGATAGGACGCCTTGAGGTATACAGTAAAAGAAAGGAAAAATTTTCAAGGATACAACTGAGTTAGTTGCGCTTTTAAATTGCTTGAAAACGATTTAGTTAACAATAATTTTGATGGGAAAATGTTCGCCTCGTTTATTTTAGAGCAAAAGAAATCTTTTTTTAATTTATGATGTTCCAGTCAATACGTCTTTTAAAAATTGTCTCAGCCCGAAACCATTATGTTGCATTTTCTAATTTGGACTATACAAATATATATACATGGATATATATATATACAAACTAAATAAAAAAAGTTCAATAATATTACATAGGCACAAAGTGAGAAAATTGTAGTAGGCTGTGACCGAATCTTTTATTCCCGCCCAAAAAGATTTAAAAGAAAAAGAAAAACTAAATTTTCATACTCTATTACAATGGTTGGGCGTGACTGATTTTTCTATTTTTGTAGAATAAAAGTGGAAATTTCTATCGGACATCTCTTGTAGTTTAGGTTACTCAGGAACACAAAATGGAAAAAAGCAAGAGTGCTCTCAGTTTTTGTTTTATTCTTTGCATTGTAGGCGTGCCCTATGAGCGATTTAGCTCATGTTTACATTTTTTTCAAATTTCTAAGGGACACTTCATTTTTACGAATAGGCGGATGTTTACCCCACGTGCTACACAATTGGGCAGACGGACGAACGGACATACTTAAGTGCATTCCAAATTTGACATTCCTCTAGGATGAAATTTTTTATAAAGTTATTGAAAAAAAAAAAATTTGATACAGTGTTTCGATGGTTGGCTTGGTGAATTTTTTTTTCCAATTTTGTACAATGGCTACAACATCGCCCATAGAATATGCGTTAAAATCTTTGTACATTTATTTGCTATAGTTTATGAGTAATGAGCAAAACATTAGATTTATACTCCTTTTGGAAAACAGAGGTGTTCTCAGTTGACATGATGTTGTGGGCATGTCCTTCGACCGATTTGGCTCATTTTCAATGCCGATCTGCGTGCAAGAACTTTCAATGTGTCTATCAAATATGAAGTTGATAACGTCATTCTAGCTATCAGAAGAATGATTACAATGGACAGGCGGACATGCTTACATCAAGTTGGAATTTGCTCAAGAATATGTACATTTTATGAGATGCTTCTTCTTGGGACTTGCGAACGTTTTGACAAAATGAATAATATACCTGACCCTTCGGTGGTGGGTATTAAAATGGTTATGTCTTCAAATGCAGGTCTAGTGATCTTTAAGGTATAGTGATGATTTTTTGTATATCTTTGGAGGAAAATTTGACCTCATTCTTAAACACAATTGTTTCACTTGATGCCGCAGCTGACGATTACAACAGTCATAGAGGAATGTGATTACTTGATTAGCCTCTCAGTTCAATCACACTTATCTTCTTATCTGTTTTCTATTCACAGCCTAATAAGACATTTTTTTAAAACTATTGCACTTTATGTGTGTTGGTTTAAGACTTCACACTTGCATGTAAACAAATTAATAACAAATGAGAAATTTCAATTTTCATACTTTATAACAACTAACATGATTACCTATGGAAATCATTCGTCCTGCAAATCCGAGTAGTAAGCTTAATAATGCAACTATTCCAAGCGATATAAAAAATCTCCTTCACTTTTATCTATTGCACAATATACCAATGAAACTTCGAAGTAAATTTTAAAACCTGACCTGCCTGAAGTAAAAATATGTTTAAAAAAAGTCACATAACTAAAAATATTGAATTAAGTCACGTATAAAATTCAATTATGCGTGTCAGTGTGAAAACGCTAAAAAAAAAAAAATAAATAAATTTTTTAACCGCAACTGTCCACACCTATGCACGCAGTAATACATTCGCATGTTTTATGCAGTGGCATTTAAAAGAATTATGGTCGACTAATAATTAAAACGTGATTGTTTTTTCCACCTACCTTAGGATCCTTTTCATAATAATATTGCTGAGTACGTATCCAACGGCCAACCATATTATCTCTAACGGTATTCGCCAAAGCAAAGAAATAGTCACGCAATGTAGCGACATTACGATCCTTTACCAGTGTATAGTGCAAATGACGATTGAAATTCTTTTTCACCTCGGTAACATTACCTACTTCAGCTATACCTCTAATTGAGATTTGCTTACGTCTGTCGGCATCAGTTTGCGGCGTTGCCATTATTCTCCTTGTCGATTTACTATGAAGTTAGCGAACACGTTTCTTTAAAATAATTGAAAAGTGAACAAATTATTTTTTATTTCTTAAATTTTTTTTCTCTGTAGACTAAAGATGTCAATAGAATGGAACACAAAACACTTTAGCACATCTAGGCAAGCATGCAATCATAAATATAAAGAGCCAGCGTCCGGTCAGAGCAACGCGCAACAAACATTTACAACTGATGACTTTCGGAGCAATTTTTAACAAAACATTTTGCTAATAAAGGCACTACCATTTACTATAAGATTAGTAAGAGAGAGAAAAAGAGAGAGAGAGAAAGAGAGAGGCTAAACTCTCTTCTCGCATGTAATGTACAAATTTTCACTATACAATTTTCACTCTTTGCGAATTTTCTTCTTTATTCATGCCCAAGCACATCCACTATTCACTATTGTGTGTTGTTTACTTGTTAACTGCCTTATGTTTTACGATTGTATATATATAGATATATATATATATATACTTTCTCTACATTTCTCCGTTCATTTGTGAGCACTTTTTAATTCACCTTTTAGTCACCTTGTTCGAAGGTCAAACATGTGTATATGCTTTAGTAATGCACATTTAATTTATTTATTTCAATTTATTCTCACAAAATTATTTTATATTAATTATATTCTCTGTTTTAAGCCATCACCAAATGTGCGATCAATTTTAGATTATTTACACGTAAGTTAAGAGTTTTACTTACTATGCTCGCTTTTATGCTCTCTATGCAATAAAGAAGCAACTTGAAGGCATTCAAACATCTGCATGACATTTATGCACAGCTGATCTAACAGGTGGTTGAAATGGGTATTTTTTTCAAAAAATATAGGAATTCATTAGTCATATCTTTACATCGCCAACCAACAACAGATGACGCATTTTTTCCTTTACATGTGCGGAGAGTAGAAAGAGCGCAGAGTTGCTGTAAATAAATTGCAACGCTTCGATGAATGAGAAATTCTTTCGTTAAATCTGTCTAATGGTAGGAATTTCTCCTTTAAATGGGAAATTATTTTGTGAAATTTATTAGAGTATTAAATACATCTATATCCGCCTGAGTGGCCGAGTAGGCAAGAGTCTCGACTTTCAAGTCAATTGTCGTGGGTTCAAATCTAAAGTGCGGTAGAGTTTTTAATAAAGCCGAAAGCCTTTGATGCTAGTGCTTTAAAACTTTAGTCTTAGAATTTATTCTCTGGCTAAATTTATAATAATAATAATAATAATAAATACATCTATTAATAATAAATAAAAAATACAAAAAGTAATACCACCTACCCAAGTTTTGCCGACGTTAAGGACTTCTTTCTCTATACTTTGCTATCTATCTCCTGCACAGTGTTCTAATAATAAGTGCAATAGCACTCTATAAGAGTGTTTACCTAACGGTATTTTCAATCGTATTAAGATATAAACTCTTCGCAAAGAAAAAACTTGTATGAATACATAGATACATATATATAAGTGTATATGAATGTTTTATAATTATTTTTGTATGAATCTTTATAAAATCATAACCAGGGGCTTCTTAAGACATCTTAGGATAAAATCGATAAATATATACGACCAATAAAAAAGGAAAAAACAAGTATGAGGGGAGGTTTTATAAGGCAACGTACAAATTAAAGCTAGCAAGAATGTACTAATATATAAGGGCCGAGAATCTCTCACATCAAACGGCAAATCTTTAATAGCAGATGTAAAGAATGACTGATTCCTAGCAAGCCCATCAATCTTATTAGGTTGCTTGGATGTCTCCGCCAAGATTACTACTTCTTAATGCCAATGTTAATTCGCCAAAAAGTATCCCTAATTAAGTGAGTTAAAACCATGAATATGGTTTTTATAGGAATAATCTTTATCCAAGAATGTCATTGCTTGCATACTATTTTTCTAGATCAAATATTCTCTACAATTCCTATAATTATTATACCTACACTAAAGGAAGGCGTCTACACTGATTTTATCATAATATTTGTAACGCCTAAAAGTAAACTTTGGAGACCCTATAAAGCATATATATTTTTAATGAGCATGAAACTCTGATTTGATTAAGCCATGTCTGTGGCTTTGTATGTCCGCGCGTCTGTGTAGCGCATGTTGTTGACACTCCCCTGGTCATGAAAATAAAGATCGTGCGTTCAAATTTTGTTAGAAAAAGTGAAAGTTTCTACACACAGTTGGACCAATTGTCCGCAGCAAAGCGTAAAATGAACGCAACTCTGTTTCTCTGTACCTATATAGTTATATATATAGTTATATAAAGGCTTTCCGCGTTGCTTCAATCATAGATCAATTAACTTTTCGAGTACCAACTCATCGCAAATGTTAATACCACGCTTACTGCATAAAAGCGTACGATATCGCCTAAAACCGCCCAATAACTTTTCGGGATGTTTTTTATGTTTATTTATAAAAGCTTCTAGCTAAAACTAATTTCGAAAAAATTGTAAACGAAACTGTAATTCAAGTCGTGCTTGTATTAGGTGGTTGAACAAATTTCTGCCGGTTTCATTATAAAACTGAATATTTTTAGTATGAAAGAATGTGATACGGAATGTTTTATTGAAAGTAACATGCATTTACCGGTTTCACCATCTCTGAAGGAAAGGAAAAAAAGAACAACTGCTCTTTTCATGTCATCCATAAAAGAATATCGTGACAGGAAAACAATCCATTCTCGAGCACACAATATTACCTTTATCTTATTGTTGTGACCAATCACCTGTCATGTTTTTGGTAACTTCGTATCAAATATTTCTTACTTTACCTCTTACTTTATGAAACAAAGTTGATAGGTCAGGAAAAAACATTAAAAAATCCTAGTGATTGTCCTGTGACTCCTCTATGATGTTGCTCAGAATACCGCTGCAAATTATGCAGCAGTGGCAAAGCTAACATCTTTCAATTAAATGCAGCCGCCATTCTTCAGGCATATTTTATCAAGTAAAATCTAACGTCATCGTGCTGCGAAATCACACTATAATGCCTTTCCCGATTTTGTGTAGTCTGAAGTTAATGGTCAGCCTAGTCTATATTAAGGACGTGCATGTAGCGCGTCCATTGCTTATCAGCACTTAACAGGCTCCTCGTTGGAAGGGTACGCAGGAAAAGTAGAGCTTACCGCCTTTCACGCCTTTTTTTTTGTGTAAAAACCCGATTTATTCGAGGCTTTATAAAAATATTCGAAAAGTCATTGAAATGCAAATCCAAGCGAAATCGATCAAGACCTGTAAACTGAAATGCTTTGTACCGCATTGTACGGACTTCTACAGGCAAATATTAATTTTATATAGAGATGTAACCATGACTCGCAAAGCAAATTCATTGAAGTGAAGTATCTGATTATTGGCCTTTAAATAGCAAAATATAATGCGAGATGAAGTTTCAAAAACAAGCGATTTCTGTACTTATTACCGGAGGATGAGGGATATAGAATGAAATGAATACAATAATTTCCAAGCAAAAGCCAAGGCAAGCAGGACATTTGGAAAAGGATATGCAAGTACGATGGTTTTCTGATAGGTTTATCATAGACAGCGAAATAAGATCGTCCAATATTTTGTGCAAAAGATTATCAGGGACTTTTTGCGTCTCTGTTATCGACAGCAGTGGTATCGCTGTTAGTTAGCAGCAATTTGACTGTTTGCTCTTTTGTTCGCATTATTTGTACGGGCAAAGATTCTTTTAATAGTTTCTTGATATGACGTCGCGTTCTCTCAAAGGTATGCAAAGCAGAAGCTTATAGAATTGTGTTTTCAAGTGAATATGCGCTATGGTACACATATGTCCGAAAAATACCAAACATTTGGTAGCAACAGGGGTAGCAAATATAGTTTGATTTCTTTTCATCGTCTGCTTTGTAGGATCAAAGATTCTAAATTCTACATGAGCCAAATCTTTCGACAAAATTCAAAAACATTTTCATAATCAAAAATATTGAGAAGTTTCCAATACTCAAAAACAGTTAATTTGAGTGAGTGATTTGATAAATTTCTGCAACCTTTCACGTCACAGGCGAATATATTTTAGAATATTTTTACTTGTTGATAGCATACTTTCATTGAAAATTATTGACGCGCAATTGATGAACGTGGATTTTAGAATTCCTCAATGCAAAACAAACGATGAATGTTAAAAAAAATTACATTTTTCGCTTGCACTTATGGGTACAGCATAGCGCTTATTCACACACTTGAAAACACGGAATAGTTTACGATTCTTCTTGGCAAAACGTGACAGATTGCGATGTCACATCAAGCGAGTATTAAAGGAATACAAATAATGAAAATAAAAATTACTGTTAATTAACAGCGTCACTATTATTATTCATGACAGAACAGAAAAGGCAAAAATCTGCAATGATTTTTGATTTTGAATGAAATGTTGGCCGATATTATTTTGTTGTCTCTGGTTTTATGTTGTTATTATTACTATTATTGTTATTATTATATGAACAATGAAAAGCATTCTTATTATTGTTTAATCGATAATACGAGTGCCACAAGTGATTCAAACTACACAAGCTGTGAAACGCTATAAGCGATTTATTTAAAATGCTTTCTTTTTTTAATTTGAGAAAAATCTCCAACTTATTAACAAAAAAACTTAAGCATCAATGGGTTATATGCAAAGCATATTTTCTTTAGCTTTTTATAAAATGTTAATGCTTAAATATTTTAAAGCAAACATTAAAGAGCAACAATTGAAAAATTAAAAATGAAATAAGACACACTTAAAAGTGAAATAAGGCATTTTTTTTTTTTTTTTTTTTTTTTTTTTAAGCTAATAATAGTAGTAATTAATTTTATTCAATAATAGATAATTAATTAATTTGATACAATTAAAAGTTGATCGCTTTTTTCTCTTTTTATTTTTTTAAATTAAAAACAATTTTCAGGCATGTGTAGCAGAAAAAAAAGCAAGAGTTAAGCAAATTTAAAAAATATTTTTGTTAAAAAAATGTTTATTTTTATTTTTTTATTTTTATAATTTGTTTATATAAAGAGAACTATATAAAGATTTTATAAATAAAACCAAGTAGAGAGTGTTATTATTATTTTTATTTTTTTTTTCTGTTTTGTTTTATTAGATTTCTTTTTTCAAATTTTTATTATATAATTAAATTTTATACTCAATAAGATTTTTTCAATGTTTTAATTTTTCTTTTTCTATTCTCTTTTAAATTTCAAAAACAAAAATTTCATTCTTTACTTTCTTTTGTTTATATTCATTTCATGATAAATTTTTAGCTGAATGCTTACACATATATGTTGAGTTTTGTTTTTAAGATTAATTTTTTTGCCTAAACAAGAAGGATGAGAGTTATAGATAGATAAGCAACAGAAGTATAGATTTTATTAAACCAAGAAGAAAAAAAAATAAAATAAAATGGAATAAGAAAAAATATAGAAAAAGAAAAAAATGGTCTTAAATAATGCAAAAAATATAAAACAATTATTATTAATTTCTCTTTAACAAAAATTATTTAAATTTTAAACAATATCATCTTGAGAAGTAGTAAAAGATATTAAAATTCAACGAAAATGCCTACTAAAAGCATTAAAAAAAAATTGCCTATAAAACCAACGGTTGTTAACAATTTAATTGTTGCTTTTACTAATAATAGTAATAGTTATTATTGTTATATTGTTGTTACTCCCTTCTTTTTTTTTTTTTTTTTTTTTTGCTTTCACCAAACCTTGCACGCAAGGCATTCGTGGATAGGAATAAAAAGGAAAATTCTAATAAAGTTGTACACACAAAAAAAAATAAAAAAGAATTATCACTTAAATAAAATTTAAACAAAATATAATTTATATTTAAGCATTATTTAACATATACGTCATAATAACATAGTGTACGTGTATTGTGTGTGTGTCTATATGTATATGAGAGTGAAAATCCGTATTGATACTTTGCGTATTTTCGAAAATGTCTTTAGGTGTGATGGTGTTGTTGGTGTTGATGTTGGTTTTCCTTCCTTTCTTTCTTTTTTTGGTTATTTTAATGGATGGTTTTGGTTATCTGGTTGTTTATACACTCTCCCCACATGTCTATCATACATATATATATGCATGTAAGTGTTTATATATGGACACGTTTATATAGAATCATACATATATATATATATATGTATATATATATATATATATATCATATATATGTGTATATATGTACAGATAAGTATATATACGAGTTTAGTATTTGTTTGCTGTGATTAATATAATAATATCATCCTATTGCGAATAAATCAAACAATTTAAAAAATAAAAGAATAAAAAAAAAGATTTTCCTTTTTTCTTTTTAAAAGAGCTTAGCTTAAAACTCGGTTCGTTTTTAGCAATATATATGTATATATATATATATATATATATATATATATCATCTGGTTTTTGAAGTTCTTTAGATTATTGTAGAGAATTTTATCAATCAATTATTTCTTTTTTGCTGCGTTTTTTTTTTTCTTTTGATTTTTACACTTTAATAAATAAAATTTAACTTTGCATTCTCGCCTATTCTTTCCTTACTATGTGACAACGACGACGACGACTACAACATTGTTGTTGTTTCGTTTACTCTCTGAATGAAATTTTATTGTGTCGTTTATCACCCTCTCGTCGGCTGGTCTAATTTTTTTTGGTTAGTGTTTTCGTATTGTTTTGTTTTCATGTGGTTGTGTTTTTTGCTATTTCATCTTAGGTCGTAATAGTTTTATATTTTGCAATCAGATAAAAATGTTTTTGTTTTCCATGCTTTTACTTCTAATTGTTTCTTGATTGTTTTTGTGGTTGTTGTTGTTAATAATAATATAAATATAACTTAACACACTCGGGTTGTTATTATTATTATTTGTTTTTTTTGTTTTTTTATTTTTGATGATATTAGTTCTTTACTTGTCTTTATCAGACTCGGCAGCTATGGGCTTTTTAGTACCCAGAGGAATGGCCGCTTTGATTCTGAAAACAAATAAAAAAAAATGAAATGAAAACATAAATAAATTAAACAAATAGTATTTTACATAAATATATTTTAAAAACGAGTTAAGAAGTATTCTGATTCTGTTGGGTTAAATTCCACTATTAACTTGTATACGAAACTCCTTAACAAGACAAGAGGCTACGACTCGTTAGCCCAAAAAGCAAAAAAAAAAAAATTCCAGAACTTCATAAATAACGAATAATTTCTCCCAACATATTGAAAAAAAACTTATTCCAAGTGGTGGAAAGGAGCTCGCATAAAAAAATTCTCCTATGAAAAATATGTTTCTAAATAGAGTGGAAGAGGGCTTTCCCAATAAAACGAATGATTAACTGATTATACAAGGGAATATTTTTTTCTCGTTTTAAACCGGGAAACATTTTCAAAACCTACATAGTTCAATACAAACTGTCTTAGTTTAAAATGCACATATTCTTCGCCTCTCTCTCTCTATTATTTATATATATATTTAATTATCGCACAAAAAATAGTTTGCACAGACAATATAAATCGCATGAAACATAAATAAAAGTAGAAATATAAAGCCCATAAATAAAAATCGCACAAATCAGATTCAACCGTATATATGCTATCATATTGAGCACAAATTATGGTTTAGCTCATATTGGTAAAATTTATTCAAGTTATTCCATTTGATATAGGATTTTTCGTGGAAGTTTGTTCTCCTGTACACAGTTTTTCAATTTAACTTGAGAAAATATTAAAGAAAGATATAGGAGAAAATAGCAAATTTCTCTTAAGGAAAATTCCGCGTTCATAAACCCAGGGCGCTTCATTGACATACTAAAGCAACAACGCTATCTATTTTGGTTAAGATTACATAAACTGCATTGAATGGATTCGGGCGCATACATCAATAGCTTAGAAATACTTCACAGTCCCCATAGCTTATATATTTCGAATATTTTCCCTGTCCGAATTTATGATATGCACTTTTAAATTAATAAAAAAAGGAATATATATAGCTCTCTTGGCCCTTGAATAAGGGTGTCTGTCTGAAACTGTCTTCCACATCAAGGATAAGGTTATAATCTTTTTATATAGTTCCAAAATGAAAAGGTGTTCACATTTCGCAAGTTACTTGAGAAAATCTTGAAGCGAGCTGTATAAGAGAATTTCTTTTATTATATATAAATAATTAAGGGCAACCTTTTCGAGTAAGCACAACAGTAACTCTGTGTTACTTATATCTTCAATAACACCAAATATCAATAGACGCGATTACAGTAAGACTTCTTCACATAGGTGTTTAATAGTAACACCAATTCCTCTGTCTCTTTGTAGAGCCTTCGAAATTAAATCGAAAGTATAAAGATAAATTAAAGATACAATTATTGCTCATCTAAATATGAGTATGCCCGTTATATTATGGCATATGCTCTGCACGCACAATTTAAGAAATGTGTTGAAAAATATCTACTTTCTGTCATTCCCACTCTGGACAGGCTATTATTAAATAGAAATGGTTTGTTATAGAACAGTACGAGATAAATGTTTTCGCTGAATATGCTTCGTAGGTTCGAAGGTATGCGCGTGACATGTTTTACCAAATTTTGGTAGAAGAAAGTAAAAGTTATCTCTGAAGAATTGAAAAGAAGAACTGGCTGGCAGTTCAAAAAGTTTGCATGTATGTGTGAGCAGTTTGAAATAAGGAATCTTTCAAGAAGAGATATTATTTAGAAATCATAGGTTAGGGGACTTCTTGGAATTTGTTGTAGTTTTCTTTTTTTTTTAGCTTTCGAAGATGTACTAATGACCTTTCTTTCAATCCCTTTTTCGAGATGATGATTTAACTTCAAATTCTTAAAGTCTTTGCAAGCTTGTTGTAATGAATACTTACTTTTCAGTGACATCAGCTACTTTGCTTCGGGCCAAATCCAAATAGGTATCAATGGACTGTTTATTGTTTTCATATACTTTTGGTAAAGTAAACAACGAGACAAAGGCTATGTTAAAAAAAAAAAAAAAAAAAAAAAACAACAAAAAACGCATAGATAAAAGACAAAGAGAATATAAGAAAGAAATTCAAGTGAAAACGAATACCGATACAAATGATAATGAACAGAAAACTCACCCATAATGACCAAAGTCATTCCATTAAACCAAGCCCCAATGTAAGTCATAACACATAAAATAACACCAAATTTAATGGAGTCCACTAAATCTTCAACCAAAAATAATCTTCGCATTTCAGCAACAAAGCCATTTACATGAGCCACTGCCACACCAGCAATATGCTGAACTTTATCTTGCGATAAAGTTAAATCATAATCCAAATATTCTCTATAATTAATAATAATAATAATAATAATAATTATAAAATAAGAAAATGAAGAAAAAGTAATAAAGCAACAAAATAAAACTAACTTGAAGGGATGACCATCTGATGTCTTTTGTATGGCTTGCATAACCGATTTGTAAATCCTGAAGGCAATTGTGCCTGACAGAATCGTTAGCGATAGATAAGCGAAAACGCTAATCACCGAACAACATGAAATGGCCAAAAGAGTTATTAGACCAGCACCAAACACAATACCCGATTTCTTTACATCACGCCAATAGATAAGTGACTCCACTGAAAAGAAAGAATAAGAAAACATAACAAATCATTGAAAAGAAATTTTCAAAATGAATTATCGATTACTTATAGACAGATAGGATACGAATGTATATATATAGCCACAAAATGCAAAGAGAATAAATATTAAATGCACTTTTATTTTATTTCAAATTATGAATAAATGCAAAGAACTTTTTTTTTTTTCTTAAAAATTGCGTACAACAAATGAATTTAATCACACACGCAACACTAACTAGCGCGCTCGCTCGGTTGACTGGCCAACTGTATGCGGCTATTTTCTTTTAGTGGTTTGCCGATGGAAAAATCATCTATGAGAAGAACGATTTATAATAATTTGGCGGAAATTTTCTTTTGCGAACTAGAAAATAGTTTATGTATAAAGAGAAGAAACGTGGCCTATTCTTTATTATTACTATTGCTATTGCTTTTGTGGAGGCGTATTAAACAAAGACCTTATAAGAGACTAGTTGGAAAAATTTTACATTTATATATATATATACATATGTTTACTGAATATATTTTAACATATTGCGAAATATAGAAATTTTCATTCTCTCACAAATAGAGAGAGAGAGAGAGAGAGAGAGAGAGAAACTTGAAAGTTTTTCATTTAGTTTACAATTCGTTGACTCAACGTAGCTCTTTTGGGTAATACAGTCAGTCTAGACATTGAGTTTCCTATTAAATCGTTTTGCTTTTCGCTCCGCATGCACTAAGTTCCCCTTCGTTATTTTTACAATTTTAAGCACCTGACACCATCCATCCATAACTATAGCTAACAGTATTGTTTAGTTGAAACAATCTTTCTTTGAAATAGTTCCATAAGTATGCCAATTAGAATAGAAATGCTTATTAGAAATGTTAGTCAAGAGTTTTTTTTACAACATTTTTAAGCTATGAATGAAACCCGAGCCGTACAAAATAGTGCAGTAGTTTAACGCGACATTGTTCAAAATTTAAATGATACAAAAAATCAACATGTCGACTATGTAACTCTGCGTGCACTAAGTAAAGTTGGCAAACGAAAATATCCACTGGATAGATTAAGCAAATTTTAAACACAATCAAGCCTCAGTCATGGAAGTGTTCATAGCCAATGCGCCAACGGCATGCTGCAGGCTACGCGAATTAAAATCAACACATTACCCACCGCGAGCGAAAGTTTACAAGAAAAGTTCCCCTGGCATCGGTTGAAATAATCAAAAACTTGATGGATTATCGATATCATCGCGACTCTCTTATTCTTGATTGGATTTTTTCACGCTTCCCGCAGTGCTTGCCCTGCCGGTGATACATGTATCCATTTACATTCAGTTTTGTTTGTTCTAGTATGGCAGGTACATACAAGTGTATGTACAAATGAGGCATGGCATGACGTTCACAAGCATGTTGCGATTACATTCTATACCTTTTTTTCTCTGACCATCATGACCGTGTTTACGAACACACATACGGGATGGGTGCATCTCTTTTTCTTTCTCGAAACTGTGTCGCTTCCTGCAAATTTTCAAGGGATTGCCTTTGCAAAATAAAGTCCGTTCGTCACTACATTGTGAGTCAAATTTTCAATGATTATTTTCGCCAATTGTCAACTGCAACGGTAAACCAAAAGTAGCCTATACCCCGAGAGTTGCCACATTTTTTTAGAAAGGTTGCGAAAGTCTTGATACGTACCTCTAACGATTTGTACTTTCCTAAGCAAAATTCCGATAATATATTAAAACTCATTTTTTTTCTAAATTAATACAAAAAGTTTTTTTTAAATATAAGCGAAATTCTGCCTTGGGTCACTTTTATGGCTTTCACTCCCCATCGCTGTTTCCAAATCAAACAAAATAATTGCGCAGCATGAAAACAAAGATCGTCTTTCATTTGTGCTTTTATTCAGATCGGTTGCCTTTTTATTCATGATTTTTCGTGCAAAGCCGACAATCAAGCATTCTACATCGATTCGCTCAACCCACTTTTTGAGCTCTTTTCGTTATAAATCTGAAAAATAGACGAACGTAATGTTATCCAAATTTATTACACTTAGTTTATATATGCAAACCCTTAGAATTTTCTCTTTGGCTTACTGTTTGTATGAACGAACGAACATTCAGGTCAGTCAATTTTTTATATTCGTTTTGTGCGTCAAAAAATAAACTTTCGTTGACCTTTTCCCGAGAGATACAAAAAATGGAAGTTTTCCGCGTGCTTCTAAATGTATAACCATATTAACGTTCGTTCTTAGGTAAAAATATGTCAATACGAAATTTCATCAATAGGTATCGAATACTACGACTTGAAGTTAAACACAAAGTACATGATGAGACAAACTTCTAATGAACAGACGGATGGAGGGACATGCTTAAATCGATTCAGAAAATGGATCATTATTACTGTACACACTTGGTGTAGAGCATAAAAAAGTGTTTCATTACAATAAAAAATCTCATCACTTATCATATGTTCGCAGGGATCTATGCTTTTTTTGCCGAACTGAATCTTCAACCTTACAACGCCCTGTTTTTAATGAGCATAAGCTTAAAAAGCCATGTCATGTCAATAAGTTGGCTCGTTTTATTTGAAGTTGCCCCGCAAGAAGCGCAAGAAACGAAAATTGAATCAAACGAGACTTTTGCATTCAAATTGCGTAAACTTTTTCAAGCGAATTTTTCTTGCAAGTGGGACAAGCATGGTATTGCTACTGACATCTGCTTTCATTTAAAAAGTCACTTTTTTACTTTCTCTATTAAAGAGTCGAAACTAACCGTCCGGAGCGAAAGTAAAGAGAAGTTAAGCGAATGGAGCTATTGCGGAACGGTAGTGAGTTAAATATCTAGAGAAAAGCTCTTGAAGACGTAATGCGGTACGAAAATGTGCATTATACAATGAAAGTCGAGCGATATTCATTGGTAATCTTGAAATGTACGCATAAACGACCCGTAGCTTGCTTTCAAATAACATTCGGGGTCTAACAATTTGGGCCGGCGGACGAAATCCATCGTAATCAAAGTAATTTTCGATTCATTTCATTATTTTTCGGGCAAATGGCTTCTTCCGTCTATGGTCGCTAACGAAACCAAAATCTTTGTGAATAAAAAAAACTTTCTTGTAGCTCTCGTAACTGACCCTGTTTCCTTTTTTCTTGTTCCTCGTATCCTCCTTTAAACATCCTTCATTTCTCAACGCGTGAGGTTAACGACCTCTCACTTACTACAGAGTTGTATTTGTAACAAATATGACAAGAGTAGTTTCAATACCATATATACGACATAGTGAGTGTATTTATCAGACCCATCTATAAATTCCAACTGAGAAATATAATTTCCTGAAATAATGAATATTTAGAATTCGTAATTAGTATCTTTTGCAGCAAATAAATCAAAGAAATCATTTTGGAAAGCTGGAAAGAAACGACGTCTTCCGTCACCGGTTTAAACAACTTCGAGCCATAAATAGATTTTAAAGGAAGAAATTTCTTTGGTTAATTTACGTATGCATTTCAAAATCTCCGCAAACAGATTCAATATTAATATTTCAAGTGAAATTGGAAGAAGGAAGGAAGGGGCAGAAAAATTTTCTTATTTCTTTTATTTGATTCAAATTTAAACTAAGCGGACCTTCATTTAAGGTGTAGACGAACAATTTTAAAGAACTCCGACTAACAAGACAAGAGCTGCGGGCTTACAAGGTCATGTTGAATCTCACTGATATATGAGGAATCGCGGCCATTGAAGATTGTTTTAGTTATGCGATGAAAGATTTCAATTGAAGCATCGAATTCCCCATGAATGGGTGTTTTCCCTAAGTGAGTAGAATTTTTCCATTAACATTGTTGAAATAATTAATTGATGATGATTCCTTTTTCTTCTCATGTCGTCTTTAAGGTCCGTAAGGAAGTTAATATGTAAACCTGCAAAGACATTGGACACATTTGCTTCTGCACATGTTGCTCGCTCAACCTCAGTATTTAGAACAAAACTCTGAAAAGAGAGACTAGTAGTTTCCTTCTCGCATCACACTTTTACATGTATAATGCATTACCATATGAAAAAAAGACTTGTAAAATGTTAAAAAAGTTTGAATTCTTAAATCACTGAAACGTTTCAAAAAGGCAAAAAATTTAAAAAGATGAATTCGATTCGTTACATTTTATTTTCTCTCTATTTATGAATTCATCATTCTTTGGTATAGAATGCAATAACAAAATTAGAAAGGTTTCAATTTCATCGTCTAAAAGCAGCAAAGGTATGAAAAAAGTAAGACTTTAAATACGTAATCAGCTTAAAAATTGTAGTCATCAATATGTGTAGGTAGTTAGTAAGTAAGAGTAAGTACATGAGTAAGCAAATATATTTGAACATTTAATAGCGTATATAAATTGAGTTTCAATAGCAAATTGATATATAATGGTAGTTGTTTGTTCTTGCTCATACTCGTGTCGATTTATAGAATCGAACACTATTTTTGCTAAGTTTGGAGGTGAGAAAGCAAACTGACACTTTCAGCATACAGATATGAAAGAGAGTAAAGTACATATATATTACATACACATCTAAGATATTTAATTGCTTTGATGCATATTTGATGGATTACATCAGGTGAATTCATTCATATAATATACAAGACGAAAACATTACGTCAAGTAGCAGAACATAGTTATCAGAAAGAACATAAAAGATAATTGGGTGAAATAAAACTGAATTAAAAAATAAAAAAAAGTTAAATCTATCAGTTTTTGGCCGACTATGTCACAGTTATTTTATAACCCAGTTACTACCCATTCAGATGCAATGAATTAAAAATATTATGTAAAATGTTGGTGTGTTACTAGTGTGTCGATCTGGAACAATTTTGCCAGATCAAAATTTTCCAATGACCTTGAGATATACTTGGACCAGCATTTCTCCTTTTATTGATAGTAAGTGCAGTTTTATAATTTTTTGTAAGCGCGTTTGCAGACGATTTTACGAATGACTTAATCGCAGAAGATATTATCTCGTGTTATT